ATTTTTTTTTTTTTTTTTTTTTTTTTTTTTTTTTGATGCAGGAATGAGCATAAAAAGGCATTGCATTTGATACACAAAGTAAGAATGTGCATTTCATTCCTACCAATTAATCAATTCCCACCCATTACCGCCGGATATCTTATTCATAAATAGAACTTCGACTATTCTCATGGATGTCTATGCCCATGGATCACAATAATAACACGAGATGTTATAAACTTCCTCGTCAGCAAACCCCCAGAAAAGTCGTTGTTAGCCTCCTAGATACTGTCCTCCAATGAAACCCAAGACACAAAGAAGAAATTGATTAAAACACCTGAACCGAAGCAAATTTGGCATCATTGCCCAAGTAATAACTAATCCTGGGTCACATCACAAAGCTGATGCAGCTCCATATTTAGCTTGATCCAACTGATCAAGCACCTTAACTCCTAAAAATGCACATAACCATCACTGAGCTTTGACACCGACCATTTTAAGTAGTAGAACATAACCTGTATTCATCAGGATTTTGATCAGTTTTTTTTTCAATTTCGAAACGGTTACTATAGCAAGATCAGAGATTCTGCAATTATGCAGACGTATACCACACAGTAAATGTTGCAGACACAACTGATGGTATCCTCAAAACTCTGCATTCGACATAAAAGGTTCAAAATTCAGACACCAGCTGAACATTGAAAGGGCACACAGAATCATTGCCCAAATCGTTGCTCTTCAAGTATTTTCATCAGCCAAAAACTGTAAAAATACACTTCACTAGTAACAATATGATCCAATCTCTATGCACCACCAGCATACTATTCTCAAAAAACTACTTCTAAAAGATACAGAAAAGCAATTAAGCAAAGCTCGTTTCTGCAGATAACAAAGTACAATAAAACCGAACTGAAGGAACATGAGACCTAAAGAATCTACCCTCCAAAACGCTAGAACCTAAATAACACCTGCAAAATGAACCTCCATACATTTTATAACAACAAATTGAAAGCATCCAAAAAGAATCATGCCCGTTTGGGATCTCAACCACAACGAAGGATAACACTGGATTCCCGCAAGTCTTGAATAACCACTACATTTAGATCACGGCTTAAAAGGGGCAAACACCACCACAGAGTTGTGTCCACCAAATCCAAAAGAATTAGAAATTGCTGCAGAAAGAAAGTAAGAGGAGAGAAGGTTTAGATCATCTTGTAACTTATGCGAATTCAAAGAATTGTGATCAAGGAAGATTAGAACATACCAACATTCACTTCATGCTGCTGCTTTTTATTTGCCACTGTGTCAAACTCAACAGAAGGCTCTGGATTCTGCAATAAAAGGATAGATTCTTAATGCATGACCCAGTGAAACACGATTTTCTTTCATCCATCTCACTGCAAGACAAGACACAAGACATGCTTCTTTCTACTGGTTTCGACTTACAACTAGAGAACTTCCAGAGTATAGAAAAACAAGTAAACAGCTATATATATTCTTTATCAATTGGGCAAGTAAAACACATAATATGTGTGGATCTTTCTGATTAACATGCAGCAGTGATATAATAACTGCTACTTAGATGAGATTCAGTTTAACTGAAAGGACTTTGGGAGCACACCTATTGTATTCATCGCATTTTTAAGTGGTTGACTTCAAGATTTTAAATGTTAAACAAGAGATCAAAAAAGGAAGCAGAAAGCTTATTTTCATGCAAAGCTAATGTAACAAGGACGATGAGCAACTGAAAGATATTTCACTAAGAGCTAAATTTGCATGCAGGTCACAGAAGCAAAGCATAATTCATATCCCCGAATATAGAATCAAAGCAATGCCTACTTACAAATTGGTTTATGCTTGGATGCAGCCATCCAGTGGTTATGGCTTTAACAGTGGCAATGGCTTCCAGCCCTCCAGCAGCACCAAGGCAATGGCCTATCATAGACTAAAGACAGAAATATATAGAGGAATAAAGTTAAATGGAACACTTTGCCAAAAAACAACAAAAGACGAGAAGAAATATAAAAAGAGAAGCATTGAAAGCTAAAAGGTAAGGAAGTTTTCACCTTTGTTGCATTGATCTTGATCTCCTTTGGATCCTTGAACACTTGCTTTATAGCATTAACCTCAGCCAGGTCACCAGCAAGGGTGGAAGTAGCATGAGCATTTATGTAATTGACCTATAGACAAGTATCAAAGTTGGAGTTATGAGTATCTCTTATATTAAATCCAGCAGATTGATTCTACTCACAAGTTCAATTTTTAAGGCCCAGACAGAGAAACTAGGTCTTAGTGTATAGAGATTATTTATAACTTAAGAGTTAAGAGACAATTCATCCCTCTTAATATGATAAGATTGTTAATGGCAGATTAATAGCTGAGTTAAGAGTAAAGTAGAACTGAAATCAAGCTGTTTTAATGAGGAATATTGAGGACCAACAATACTGTCAGATCATACTTTGGCCTTGCAATGTGTTATGGGATAAATGGAGGGCAGAATGTCTCTCTTTCATTAATTATGTTAAATTTAGGGAGTCAATATTCATGTTGTAAACAGGAGGTTGGACTGGTGAAATACAATTCACAGATGAGCATGACATGGATGTTCAATTCTTTTCCCAAAATTTTAAATAAAAATAGAATAAGCACTCCAACAACTAACTCGGATTGGATAAATGAAAAGACAAAATTAAGACACTGGGTGAATGGAGAACAAAAGAGTAACTAACAACTCGATTACCTACCTCTTCTGGGGCCACTCCTGCGTCCTCAAGACTTCTTTGGATACAGGTTGAAACCCCAAGCCCGTCAGCTCTGGGATCAGTCATGTGGTAGGCATCACAATTCACAGCACCTCCCAAGTATTCTGCAATAATTGGTGCGTCACGTTTCATTGCATGTTCCAGGCTTTCCATTACCTTTACAGGAATAAGCACAAAAAAGTATCAGATAAACAACAACATAAATATATGGAGTTGTATAGAGTATAAAAAATCACAGAGAGAATATCTAGTTTAAACAAAATTGCAGCTTCAGGTGCTCAACATGCAGCTCCCTTTCCATGCAGAATGCGACAACTACTACCATAGAAATAAGGAACTCTTGAACTTACATCAGAGAGCAGACAAATTTGGGAATACAATTGACTAGTGACAATTGCCTGTCTAAATGGTGTCCATAATTATCCATCCAACACTTACTAGCCAAAGAGAATGTGGAGGGTTACTCCTAGTATGCAATCCTGCAATGCAAGGGCTTAACTTGACAAGCTAAAAAAGGTAGCTCACCTATCAGTAAACAGGCGTTTCTACGAAGGCCCCTATTTCTCATTGGTCAAGTTAAGACTACCGTGTACTATCAACTATCAAGGATAAGTGCATTGCTGATATAAAAAGATGCCATGAAAATCACCAAAAAGTCAACTGCAAAAACGATCAAGCCTATCCTACTCTAAGGAATCTAGAGGCAACTTGATGGATTCGAAATGAGGAAAGATTTCAAAGAAATAACAGAAAGAATACTTCTAGGCAACATGACAGAAGAAGGCAAAATCAATGTCTAACAAAACCCTCAAAGAAAAATCTAGCAAATTTACAACATATGAGCAGGCAGACATTCTTATGCCTGATTTAAGAGAGACTTCAATGTTAGAATGCCGAATGGTTTCAAATAAATATTTCAGCTTAGTGTCATCAACAATTACAAAATAGAGTTCAAGGTAAGCAAACATGAAGATTCAACAAGTTTAAAAGTATAAAATTAAACATACCAACACTCCAGCTCCCTCTCCCATAACAAAACCATCTCGATCTTTATCCCATGGCCTTGATGCAGTTTTAGGGTCATCATTCCTCTGTGACAGAGCTCTGCAGGCAACAAAACCCCCAATTCCAATGGGAATAATGGCAGCTTCAGTGCCACCAGCAATCATTATATCGGCCTCGCCTCTACGAATATGGTTTGCAGCAGCATAGAAGCAATAGTTGGAGGTAGCACATGCAGTTGAAATTGAATAATTTGCACCCATGAATCCAATATCCATGGCAAGCAAAGCAGATCCCATGTTTGTTATGGCATAAGGGATAAAGAATGGAGTAATTTTCCTGTGACCTTTCTCTATAAGAGCTTGAACACCATCAGAAAACACTGTAAGTCCACCCATGCCTGTCCCCACGAGAACACCAGCACGCACCTTGTCAATCTGGCAAAAGAAAAATTAGTTTGACATGAATATGGATCCAAAAAGGAGAGAAACCAAAAATGAAACATAGCAAGATAATAATGGATGTCCTCAAACTATTAACTGTAAAACCATATGGAACTTGAAGAAGGAGATCATAGCCAGGTGGGCAACACGAAGCAACACTAAGCTTTTTTCCAAGTATCTGAGGTGACCATAAGCGTACTAAAAATCAGTACCAACTATTAAGCAGATTTCACATTCTCCAGGACGAAAGTACCATGGTAGCAGCATAAACTCTTACACTGTGTGTGGGAGTTTATTAGGGGATGGAAAGGAAAGATAAGGTAAGAGAAGGGAAGGTATTCAAGGAAAGAGAAAATATAATATCTAGTTTTGGAGTTTAGTAAAGAAATGGAGGAGAATTTATTTCATCCTGTTTGGGAGTTCTGATGAAGGGAATAGAAGGGTTTCAAAATCAAATCTCAGTAACTGATCCATGATGATAAGGGGAAAATAGTCTCCGTGCATCAAAAGTTTTATAATCACTTCCCTTCTCTTCCTCTACTGCCTGATTCAAGGGGAATGAGAGATCCTTGCATAATATGTTGCTACTAGTTGCTAGTACCGTAAACTTGTACAATTCCCTTTACAAATGCCCCAAAAGTCAAATATAACCTTAACGAGTCAGCTGGATGTTAGAATATTGCAAGGAAAAGGGGAAATAAAACATAAAACGAGCACTAAACAACAAACATGATGATCCATCATTATGCAGCATAAGCAACCAAGCTATTTTTACATAGTGAAGGTGTGTGCACGCGTCATAAAGTATACACACACCTGAAGAATAATTCTTATAGGATTGTTGAATTCCTTGAGAGGAAGAATGCTGATTTCAGATTTAAAAAAAAGACAATATTTCAAAGAATTATAAAGTTTTATCATATATTTGTGCAAATGTCAGGCTTTAACCAGCTCAATTGTTTAACATAATTGATCAATAAGGAAAAGCATTGCTGCCCAACACTCAATAAATATTAGCTGGGCTTATAGGATGTTTGAAGCATTTCTTAGGAAAAATTATCAAGGTCTTTATTCTTGTAAGAGGAGGTTAAAACAGTTCGAACAAATGAAGAAGCAAATCTGTAGTAAAAGCCAAATAAAAGAGAAAATTTTCACTTAAAAACTAATACAGTAAACTATTGGGTAGATATAACCTATGAAGCACAAACAATCTATTATGCCAACTCTTAAAAGTAGGATTTAAAGGCTCTTTCCTTTTTGTACCAATCCATTAGCAATTCAGTATCACTGCATTATTATTGAGTGACGATTGGTTTCAGTCTTATGAATTATGATTGTCTTCTTACAAATAAATTTAGTACAGCAGAGAGAATATTCCTGTGCACTGTTCTTCAAAATTCCACAAAATTGAGTGATGGAATTAATAACAATACTGCTAGGAAACAATTCTCCAGATAGCCCAAACCCAACATCTGACATAAGATGTCATGGTTATGGCTGTTGATATATTTATTGTAAACAAATATTTAAAGCCCACAAAGCTCCTATTTTCATTCCTGCCCTAATCATATTAAAACGTGTGACTAGTGAAATATATTACCCAACACAAGAATTCATGAAACTGCATTGACTAGAGAATTTCTTTCCTACTTTAGATGTGCAAACACTCAATTACCTGCCTTTAACTTTCTTTCAACACGTTCAGAACAAAATCTAGCCTTGCACACTACTGTAATTTCTCAAGCAGAAAACTACCATATCAATTTACGACTAAACTACATTATGATTTCGAGTATGAATGATTATGAGCAACAAACTTCTCATTCATAGTAAATGAATCTTCAATAAATCCTTCATTTTTCACTCTATAGCAGTAGATCCAGCACAATCCAATTCCCAATTTCAGCTAATAAAAAAACCAAAATTTAGCATCTAATTTCTTTCAAATCTAGTTCAAGATCCATTACATGCACAAATTAGCAGGCAGATCTTTTTAAAAAAATAAGAAAAAAAGGCCGTACCTTTTTAAGCTCCTCGCTGCCAACCCCAATCCCAGCGCTCTCGAGCGCCTTCTTCCCACTAACAATACAATACCTCAAACAATCGTCCAACCTCCGATCGTTCTTCCCGTCAATGTACCCCTCCGAGCTGAACCCTCGGATCTGACCGGCGAATCTCGTCGGAAACTTCGAGGCGTCGAACCGATCGATGGGCCCGATCCCGCTCTCTCCTTCGAGAAGCTTCTCGTAGTAGCGGTCGACGTCGTTGCCGAACACCGAGACGAGCCCCATCCCGGTGATCACGACTCGCTTCTTGGGATCTGTTTCCCGTTTGGGGGCGGCGATGGCGGAGGAGGAGGCGCGGATGGCCGGAGAGGCGGAAGGGCGGCGGTGATG